TCATGTTCAGCTGCACAGGAGAAAGTACACAGGCTCCCCTGGTGTAGAAGCTTGCCCTGACCCCACCATGCATCTCCTCTAGGGTGACATCCCAGAGCACCTGGGCAGGAAGCTCCCACTCCTAATTCCAATGCATCAGCTCCTCCTGAGCCCTGACCCTGAGGGGGTGGGGGGTTGTCCCACCACCTGCTGGGGAATCAGCTTTGCTGAGGGGAGTGTCTGCAGCTGCCCCTAAGGAATGGGACAGGAATGTCCCAGTTCCAAAAGAGGTGGCAGTAGATGGTGCTGAGAGGAGGCATAGGAAGAGGGCATACCCTACACCCTCTGAAACAACTGAAGAGGCAGAGCCCAATGTCCAACCCCAGCAGGAGTGATGCTTTGTCTCACTCTATAGTTTTATTTATCTCTTTCATTTCATCATCTAATCTCCACAAACGCCTCATGGGCACAGGCCGGAGAGCAGTTATTGTCACTTCATTTTACAGACAGGGAAACTGAGGCCCAGAAAGAGGAAGTAACTTGCCCAAGAACCTATAGTGACAGCCATCCCAACTCCCTGGGCAAGGTCCTCAGTACTGCATCTGGCCCCAGCCAGGGGTCACCACTGACCTCCATGGGCACACACTGCTGTGTATGTATGTCTGCTTAGCCTCCACAGCTGCTTTCCCCAAGGGTGTGTGCAACCACACTGGTTTGGATCCCCTTAGCTTGGAATTTCTCCTGCCTGCCACTGGGTTAGTTAGAAATATAGGCAGAACTGCTGCATGGGTCCTCTCAGCCCTGGAAGCTGCTAGTTCTAAAGGTGGTAGTGGAGCAGGCTGGTCAAATTTATTCAGACATGCACATACACACCCACACATAGCCAGCCCACAGAAGAGCCCTGCCCAGGAGGGCCCTGGGAGGAGGCTGATTACCCAGTCCAGGATGGCCTCCTGCTTCTGCCTCCTCCCCAGGGCAAGCAGGGAGAGGGCAGTGGCCAAGGGAGAGGTCAGAGGGACGGCCAGGCTGAGCCCTTGGTGAAAAGGAGATCCCAAACTGTTCTTGGGGGAGAGGAGTGCCTGCTGAAAGACGTGGGTCCCAGTTCTAGTTCGGTACACAGCCAGAGTCCTGATTTCGGCTGGCCCTAGGCCAGCCCTCACTTTGGCCAAAGGTTGTGACCAGAGAAACACGGTGCTCTGGCCACCACCTGGAAACATCCCGCACTGGGGGCCTTGGCGACAAGCTGGCAGCTTCTACCAGTACAGGGCAGGGAGGGGGTTGAAGGACGAAGAGGGTATTCCGGAGGGGGCGGAAATGGGGTCTTATGGGGAGGGAGGAGAAGCAAACTAGGTAGGCATCCTTACGAAATTTGGCCCTGTACGGTGTGGTGGAGGCCATCGAGCTACCTGGGGGGACGAGAGGGACCGTCTCTTCCTGGCGCCTCTCTGGGTCCTGCCCAGAGCTGCTGGTCTGGGAGATGGAGGCTGAGGTCAGGGACCCGCGCCAAGGGCGTCTGCCACACCCTAGCCGCGGCACAGGGGTCTGGAGCGCATTTGCAGGGATTGCGGAGAGCAGCATAACGTGCTGCCGGCCCCTCCAGCGGAGCGTATGGGTCGGTCCCTGATCCCGCGCCTCAGTGCCTCGGTGCCCGGAGCAGGGGACACCTGGGCGCACACCACACCCTGGCACCCCCACCCACTTCTCAGATGGAAACCTGGGCCGGGGAGGGGCTGCGGCTTGGCCAAGGTCGCCGGGAGAGATCTCTCGGCTGGCCCCATCCCCCGAGTCCAGCCCCGGCCCCTGGCGCGCCCCACTTACCATGCTGGCACCGCTCCTCACCCCTCGTGCGCTGCAGTTCCCTCGCGCGGATTTAAACCCTCCCTCCAGGGCGCCGGTCCAGCTGAGACTGCGAGCCTGGCTGGAGAGGCTGGGTGGCAGACGTGGGGAAAACGCGGGCGGGCAGGCGGGCGCCGGAGCCGGATTGACAAGGGAGGGACGCACTCAGTGGCACTAGCTTGCCTGCCCCAGAGGCGGAGAGAAAACCCGGCCTGACTCATCCGCACGCACGCCGCCAGCCCAAAGCTTGTCCCGGGCTTCCGGATGTGAGGGGTGGGGACCAGGGGCAACCCCCGCCCACTGCCAGCCAACCTGAGTCCCGCCCGGTTCCTAAGAGCCCCCTGCCGGCTGCGCCCTGAGCCGCACAGCTGGCAGCATTCCTGCTCAGACCCGGGCGGGCGGGTCTACAGTCCCGAGCGAGGCAGACGCCCCTAGAGCGCATTCCACTTGCCTCGCTCCTCCTCCTCCTCCTGTCTTCACCGGTCCCTCTCCGTTTCCAGAGAAGCTTCAGAGGAGGCTTGTTCCGTCCATCACCTCCCCGATCCTTGTCATGTTCTCTTAGGTTAAGTTTTATTATCCTTTTTTGAGGATGAGTAGATAGTACTCCTGAAAGGTGGAAAGTTTTACCCAAGGGCTTCCACTCCTTAGTGACTGAATTAGGTGGTAAGTTTTTTGTTTGTTTGTTTTTGTTTTTGCCACCAAAGCTTTCTAGGGACACCAAATCTAAATGCCTTCAAGGGGCCAAACACTTGCATGTAAGACAATAGAAGAGATGGAGACAGAAACAGAGATGGATGGATACCTAAAGGCACTCAGATTGAAAAATATTAAACAACGGTGTCTTCCTCAAAAAGGTAAATATAGAGTTATCTTCTGACCCAGCAATTACACCCGAAGAATTGAAAACAGGGACTCAAACAAGTACCTGTATACCAATGTTTGTAGGAGGACTATTCACAATAGCCAAAAGGTACACATAGTCAAAGCTGCCCATCACCTGATGAATGGATAAACACATGGTGGTATATCCATACATGAAACATTATTCAAAAGGAATGAAGTGCTGATACATGCATGCTACAAATGGATGAACCTCCAAAAAATTATGCCAAGTGAAAGAAACCAGACACAAATGGCCATATGTATGATTCCACTTATATGAAGCAGGTAAATCCACAGACAGAAAGCAGATTAGTGCCATAAACTGCTGGGAGAGGGAAATGCGAAGTGACTGCTTAAAGGGTATGGGTTTTCCTTTTGGAATGAGGAAAATGTTTTGGAACCAGATATATGTGATGGTTGCACAGCACTGTGAATGTGCTAAAAGTCATTTTCATTGTACACTTTAAAGTGGTTAATTTTATGTTATGTGAATTTTATTGATTAAAAAAATAAAGACATCATGCACTCACCCATAGACCAGAGTTGGGCTATGGGTCACCAGTTTGCCAATTTCCTGTCAACTTAAGAAACATCCAAACCTGTAGAGAATTTTTATGAATTTATTTAACCCAAAGTGACAACATATGCTGGGAAGCAAGATCTCAAATGCTCCTGGGAATAACAGTTTGGGATTTCTTTTATGCATTTGATATTAAGGAGGGAAGTAAGGAAGGTTACTTGAATGTGGAAGAAAACAAGGTGGGGATAGGATTATTGCATGTTTTTGTTTTTTTTTAATCCTCACCCAAGGACATTTTTCCATTTTTTCTTCAGATAGAGTGGGAGGGAGAGAGAGAGAGAGAGAGACAGAGAGAGAGAGAGAGAGAGAGATCGACGTGAAAGAGACACATCGAGTGGCTGCCACCCACATGACCACCCAGTGCCAGGGACAAACTGCAACCCAGGTACGCGCCCTTAGCAGGAACCAAACCTGGGTCTCTCTGGACCACAGGCTGACGCTCTAACCACTGAGCAAAACCGGCTCGGGCAGATTACTACATGTATTAAAAGAAGGGGTCTGAAAGGGAACATTTCAAAGGTGTGTTACCCTACATGCACAGAAACAATGGACAGGGATGGCTTAAGGCAAAAATAAGCCTTTTACTAAAGAAGCTATATGCCTGGAGTGTGACTACCCACCATGACCTGCCTAGTTAAGAATTTACGATCAGATCACCCTGTGAGGTTACTTTCCATAGAACCCCTTTTTTGTCCTCATTCCTTAATTGTGGAAGTGCCAGACTTCAGAGGACTTGTCTATTTAAGAAAATTCAGTAACTACTTTGGTGTCAGCCCTTGAGGAGCCCCCAGTCTGGTAGGGTTTCAAATTGTTAAAAAACAAAATTCAACTGAGTAAATTTGAAGATCTTTATTAAGCCATTCATAAATTGGGCAGCATTCCATCTAGCAACTAGAATTGTACAAAATGGAAGGATTTTTACAGGAAGAAGGGTGGGATGAAGGAGCTATTAGTGAAAGAAATGAAAAGATTATTTTTGGTTCAGGACATCTTTTCTTTGTGGGAAGAGAAAGGAAGGGTTTTTATTATATAGATTGCCTCTTCTTTCTATGGGGGATGGAGAGGATCTATGTGACATTATTTTACTGGTTCTTGACCAGGAAATTTCACAGTGGTTGATTAAGATTATGTTTCTGTGAGAGGTTATGTGGATGAAAAAGTTGTTCTATGGATAGTAACCTCATAGAATGATCTGATCACAAATTCCTAACTGGGCAGGTCATGGTAAGTAGTCACACCCCAAGCATATAACTATTTTAGTAAAAAGTTTATCTTTGCCTTAAGCCAGCCCTGTCCATTGTTTCTGTATCATTTTTGAAATGCCTCATTTCAGACCACTCCTTCTGATACATGACTGCCCTCAAGAGAGCACATAATCTTATTAACTGCCCAGTAATTTGATCTTCGCCTTGCTTTCTCTCACATCTATGTATCTTTACTTTCCTTCCTTAAACTCAAATGCATAAAAGAAACTGCAAAGACTATTTTAGGGATAATTTCTTTTTTTCCCCCCAAATATTTTATTTTATCATTATTATTTTTTAATTCTCACCCGAGGGAGGGAGAGAGAGAGAGAGAGAGAAATATCGACATGAGAGAGACACATTGACTAGTTGCCTCCCGCACGACTCAACCAGGGCCTGAACAAACCACAACCAAGGTACCAGAATGAAACCCATGACCCATTGGTCCGCGGGCTGACACTCTAACTGCTGAGCCAAACCGGCCCAGGCAAGGGATCATTTCTATAGTTTGTTACTAGAGAAGTTTCTCTGATCCGGTAGAGCACCCGAAACCAACAGGATGAGATACGGCGTTCTCTCCTGAGCATGAAGCCAGTTCTTGGTGTTACTTCGATAACTACCATTTGCCATTGATGATCATTCTTTTTCTCTCTTTTGGAAGAATGAAAGGGAGAGAATGCGATCTGAGTGGAAGGAAAAGAAAAATGAAAATGCAAATTGTTATTCTGAGGAGCATTTGAGATCTTGCTCCCCAGAATATGTTGTCAGTTTGGCTCAAATAACTTATAAAAATTCTCTACAGTTTTTTTTTTTTATTTCATATATTGATTGATTCAAGAGAGAGAGAGAGAGAGAGAGAGAGAGAGAGAGAGAGAAAGAAAGAAAGAAGAAACATCTATTTGTTGTTCTACTTATTATGCATTCATTGATTAATTCTTTTTTTTTTTTTTTAATCCTCACCCGAGGATATTTTTCCATTTTTTGTACAGATAGAGTGGGAGGGAGAGAGAGGAAGGGAGAGAGAGTGAGAAACATCGACGTGAAGGGACACATCGAGTGGCTGCCAGCCGCACGACCAACCAGGGCCGGGGACAAACTGCAACCGAAGTACGTGCCCTTAGCGGGAACCGAACCCGGGTCTCTCCGGACCGCAGGCCGACGCTCTAACCGCTGAGCCAAACTGGCCAGGGCCATTGATTAATTCTTGTATGTGTCCTGACTGGGGATCAAACCCAGAACCTTGGTGTATCAGGACAATGCTCTAACCAACTGAGCTACCCAGCCAGAGCAAGAAATTCCCTACAGATTTTAATGTTTTTTACCTCGACAGTTGAAACAGCAGTTAAATCCAGTATTAAATCTGGGTTTGGTATTTTGGATGAAAAGGGGGCCACATACCAAGTTTAACAAATTCAGGGGAGGCCTGCATAGTGGGCCTTACAAACTCAGAGACCTAAAGCAACCACATAGGATGGTCTGAAATTAAAACTCCCTAACTAAAAGCAAGTCATGATGGGTAGTCATATTCTGGATGGAAAGCTTCCTTGATAAAGGTAATTCTTTGAGTGAGCCTGCCTGTTGTCTTTTTGCAACTAAGATAACATACCTTTGGAACTGCAGACCCACTTTTTCCAGATCTCTCATGGGACAGTCTCCCACCAGAGCAGGAGAACTCTCATTGTTATCCTGTTGCCCAAATAAGCTGCCATTTTTCTAGAGCATTTTCTTAATCCAATTGCTTCCTGGCAATTATCATCAGTTTGGCTCAAATAAAGTCTTATAGAACTTTTTGTTAGGCTGGACATTCTTTTGAAAAAAATTATTTTTTTCTTTATTGATTTTTTTTTTTTTGAGAGAAAAGACGGGAAAGGGAGAGAGAACATCAATGGGCTGCCTCCTGCATGCTCCCCACTGGGGATTTGGCCCACAACCTGGGCATGTACCCTGACCGGGAATCAAACCAGTGCAGATGTCAACACTCAACCACTGAGCCACACTGGCCGGGCAGACTGGACATTCTTTTAATCACAGTATCATGGGCTTTTAGCATGAGTGACACCATTTTGGGCTTTGTGCTTTTAACAAGATAAAGGTTCAGAACAAGGACACACTTGACCTTTTGGGGGATCTGAGGAAAGGCCTCATGGGGGAAGGGGCTTTTGTCAATGTAAGAACATCCAAACCACTATAGAACTTTTATAAGAATTTATTTGAGATCTTAAAAAATGGCAATGGAGTGAATGGAAGTTCCACAGACCATCTCCCAAAACCAAACTAGAATTACAACTAAAATAAAGACAAATCATTGGGGGAAATAAAAAAAAACCAACAACTAAAAAACAGCTGGAGAGAACCCTTATAACCAGGGATAGAAAGAGGACAACAAATCGAGCCTGGTAGGAACAGCAGAGGTATGAGAGGGCAGGCTGGAAGCCCACAGACAGCGGCTGAGGGCTGTTTTAACTGTGAGCAGTCAGTCTCATAAAGGACAAGAGCACTAAATTAGCTCCAAGCACTCAACTTGGGCTCCCACAGAGGGAGGGCAGACTGGACTAGAACTGTGTGAAGTCAGGGGTTTGTGGTTCAGGAAAGAGCTAGGTAGGAGGACACTGGGAGTTTTATGCTGAATCACTCCCTCGTAGGACAGTAGCCATCTTACTCAAAGAGCCCCAGGGAGAAGCAACGGCCCCTCCCTCAAAAATTTAACATCACCAGGCCAGACCAGTGAAATGCAAATTGAAGCTATTTATAGCCAGAGACTACCAGCAAGCAATTGCCTCACCTGCTGGAAATCCTCTAACCCTATACACCTGAGGGATTTTTCATTCAGCTGAGGGCTACAACCTGAGGCTCATCAAGTAACTGAGACTAATAGCCTTCAGGCAAAAGCTAGAGGATAACTGAACCTTTGCTTGGCCTACACATCTACCCGGGAAAGTAAGACTTAACAGTGGTGTATAACGAGGGTACTCCCACACTCATCCAAACCCAGTAGAGGGAGCCACAATCAGTGGAACACTAACACCCATGGGGAAAATTTGGCAGGCTCCAAAACCCACTGAGCAAAATGGTGAACCAAAGAAATCTCAAATGAGAGAACAAAAGAATTCTATAGAAGAAGAGATAAAAGGAATGGAATTAAGCAAGATCTCAGGGGCAGAGTTCAGAGTAATGATTATGAGGTAGCTAAACAGCATGAGTAAAGATATGGAAACATTGAAAATCAACCAATTAGAAATGGAAAACCACTAAGCGGAAATAAAAAGTGACATAGCAAAAATAAGAACACATTGGAAGGAATAACCAGCAGAGTAGAGGAAGCCGAGGAGTAGATCAGTGAATTAAAAGACAGGGTAGAAAATATCACCCAGAGAACCCAAAAGAAAAACAATTAAAAAACAGGACGACAGCTAAGAGAACTGTGGGACAACATGAACCATAACAACATCTGCACCATAGGAGTTCCAGAAGAAGAAAATGAGCAAGCATTAGAGAATATATTTGAAGAAATAGTGACAGAAAACTTCCCTAACTTGGTGAAGGACAAAGGCATACAAGTTCAAGAAGCACAGAGAGCCCCAAGTAAGAAGAACCCAAAGAAGCCCACACCAAGACACATAATAATTAAAATGCCAAAAATGAAAGACAAAGAATCCTAAAGGCAGCAAGAGATAAGCAACAGATTACCTACAAAGGAACCCCCATAAGGCTATCAGCTGACTTCTCAACAGAAACACTACAAGCCAGAAGACAACGGCATGAAGTAATCAAGGTAATAAAAAACAAGGATCTGGCCCTGGCCAGTTTGGCTCAGCGGTTAGAGCGTCGGCCTGCAGTCCGGAGAGACCCGGGTTCGGTTCCCGCTAAGGGCACGTACTTCGGTTGCAGTTTGTCCCCGGCCCTGGTTGGTCGTGTGGGTGGCAGCCACTCGATGTGTCCCTTCACGTCGATGTTTCTCTCTCTCTCTCCCTTCCTCTCTCTCCCTCCCACTCTATCTGTACAAAAAATGGAAAAATATCCTCGGGTGAGGATAAAAACAACAACAACAACAAAAAAAAAACACAAGGATCTGAATCCAAGACTACTCTATTCCACAGGCTATCATTCAAAATAGAAGGTGAAATAAAGACCTTCCAAGACATAAAAAGGCTAAGGGAATATATTGGCACCAAACGAGCACTGCAAGAAATGTTAAAAGGACTGCTGAAATAAGCAGGAGAAATAGGAAGATAAACATAACCAAAATAAACAAAAATAGTAATAAATAAGTACATATCAATAATAACCTTAAATGTAAATGGATTAAGCATTCCAATAAAAAGACACAGGGTAGCCCTGGCCGGTTTGGCTCAGCGGTTAGAGCGTCGGCCTGCAGTCCCGAGAGACCCGGGTTCGGTTCCCGCTAAGGGCATGTACTTCGGTTGCAGTTTGTCCCCGGCCCTGGTTGGTCGTACGGGTGGCAGCCACTCGATGTGTCCCTTTCACATCGATGTTTCTCTCTCTCTTCCTCTCTCTCCCTCCCACTCTACCTGAACAAAAAATAGAAAAATGTCCTCAGGTGAGGATAAAAAAAAAAAAAAGACACAGGGTAGCTGAATGGATAAGAAAGCATGACTCATATATATGTTGTTTACAAGAGACCCATTTCACAACAAAAGACTCACATCGGTTGAAAGTGAAGGAATGGAAAAAAATCTTTCAACCAATTGGAAAGGGAAAAAAAGCTGGGGTAGCAATATTCATATTTGATTAAATAGACTTTATAATGAAGTCCATAACTAGAGCCAAAGAAGGCCACTACATAATATTGAAAGGATCTATCCAACGGGAGGATATAACCATGGTAAACATATATGCACCCAATATAGGAACACCAAAATACATTTTAAAACTTATAGAGGTCTTCAAAGGAGAAACTGAGAGCAATACAATCCTAGCATGGGACTTCAACACCCCACTGATATCACTGGATAAATCCTCTAGACAAAAAATTAACAAGGAAACAGAATCTAAATGATGCACTAGATCAAATGGATTTAATAAATATCTACAGAGAACTACACCTCAAAACTGTACAGTTCACATTATTCACATTATATTCACACATATATTCACATTATATAAGTAAACCTGGGACATTCTCAAAGATAGACCACATGCTAGGACACAAACTAAGTCTCTACAAGTTCAAGAAGATTGAAATCATGTCAACTATCTTCTCAGATCACAATGGCATGAAACTAGAAATCAATTCCAATAAAAATACTCAAGCCCTGGCCGGTTTGGCACAGCGGTTAGAGCGTCAGCCTGCGATCCAGAGAGACCCGGGTTTGGTTCCTGCTAAGGGCGCATACTTCGGTTGCAGTTTGTCCCCGGCCCTGGTTGGTCATGTGGGTGGCAGCCACTCGATGTGTCTCTTTCACGTTGATGTTTCTCTCTTTCTCTCTCCTCTCTCTCCCTCCCACTCTATCTGAACCAAAAATGCAAAAATGTCCTCGGGTGAGGATAAAAACACACACACACACACTCAAAAAACATTCAAACACATGGAGGCTAAATGGCATGTTATTAAACAACAAATGGGTTATAAAGGAGATCAAAGAAGAAATTTAAAATTTCCTGGAAACCAATGAAAATGAACACACAATAACACAAAATCTGTGGGATGCAACAAAAGCAGTTCTGAGAGAGA